CACAGACTTCCTAGATTCCACCACTGACCTTGGGGCCTTCCCAGTGCAGATCCATAAAACAGGCCCGCATGAGGTGTTGTTGTGGGCTCTGGGCCTCCAGGTGGATTCATGGCAGGCACTGTTACGAGCTCTAGGCATTCAGCTGGACTTATGCAGGACATTTCTGTGGGATCCAGGCTCTTGGCTAGTTTCCTTGGTCTTAGTGTGTGGACAGATTTCCTGCACTCTCTTGTATATCATTTTTAGGTGGCTTTTTAAAATAATCATATAAAATATGCGTCCTGTATTATATTGTTTTCCTTTGCAAAAATACGCCCCAAACCGTAACAGGTACCAAGTGGGTGAGGACAGTGCAGGCCACAGTGGGTACCCCATTGGATTGGAGCTGTCGGCTTGTGGCCGGTGTAGCACCAGGAGGTAAACACACTCGTCACACTATAGAAAGCCCCCGATTCTCTCCATGGAGCTACTTCATATGCACCATATTACCCTGGGGACTGAGACCCAAAACTCTTTCCTGGGCCTCTTCTTCAGCTCATTGCACATGTTCTAAAAGAGCAAGATTATCCAAAACCTGGGAGTCTGGAATTGCAGGCCTGTGTGTGATCTAAATGATCTAAACACGTTTATTCTTGCTGTCCCGATCTCAGCTGTCATCTACAAAAGGAGGAGCAACAAGGTACCATTCTATCTCCGAGAGGTCACAGAGTGCGGGAATGTGGGTGCCCTGCTGAATGATATTCCTGTGTTTTTGCTTTGCCTACTGTTTGAATATTACCAGAATACTTCACTCTCATGCTGCTGAGCCTGGTCCCTTTTGAACCTTGACTATGCCTCTACCCGTAATGGTTGAAAAGGTGTGGAAGGAAAAGGTAGCCACCATTCTAACTACCCTGACCATTTTCTTCCTTCAAGAGCTGTAATTTTGGGCCCACACTTAAAAAAAAAAAAAAAAAATGAAAAGACAACCAACTTCCTTCTGAGTATTGTCATTAATGACCAGATGTCCAGAGGCCTCTAAAACAAAGCAGCTGTTTGGACAACACTCCCCAGGCAGCCTTTCCCACAGCCACTCAGATCGCAAATTCCTTTCAGCCTGCGTCTCAGCCGCGTGTGTCCTCGGCTTTAACGTCACCTGCTCGGTGTGTGGAGACCATATCCCGACACTGCTGCGCTCTTCCCTCAGGAACAGACTTCCTCCTTTCTCCAGGACTCCAGGCGCCTAGAAAATTCATATTCAGCCTTAGCTCCAAAGTTATCTCTTCCCTGTTGCTTTTATTCTTAGACTCACTCTTTCCTCTGTGGTTGAAGATGAGGACAGCTAACATTTATACATCTATTGTGCATCCAGCATGTGCTACAGCGCTCAGCCTCAGAACTAGGAATAGCCGGCTTTCTCCTTCAGAACTCCTCTGCATTTATCTCAGCACAGTGAATCAGCGAGCTCAACATATTTCCTTTCTTCATTTCAATGCTCAGAAGCTCAAAGCAAAATTTGGGGCCCAGTGCTAGCAAATACACCAAATCTTATGATGTAATCCAGTATCTTTACCTTATCTCTTTTTTTTTCCATATCCCTGATTTTTTTTTTTATACCCTGATTCAAACATTGACCTTTAAAGGAAATTTCACTGGGTTAATTTTTGTTTGGGGGAGGTGAACTCAAATTCTATCTGAAGTGGATCATAATACAAACAATAAAAACAAGATATTGTATATATGTATCTGTAATTTTCAAAATAATTTTAGAAGTGTCAGGACAAATGGTACTCAGAGGGGTTACATAAGGTATGTAAATCACACATTTTTTAAAGCAAAGAGCTAACAGTCAAATATATATTCATGTAGCTGGGCATGGTGGTGCATGCCTTGTAATCCCAGCACTCAGGAGGCTGAGGCAGGAGGATTGTTGTGAGTTTGAGGCCAGCCTAGGCTACAAAGTGAGCTTAAGGCCAGCCTGAACTGCATAGCGAGACCCTGTTTTAAAAAGACAAAACAAAACAAAAAACTCCCAAGAAAACAAATATATATCCATCTGATTTCAAAGCTCATGCTCAGATAGTCATAATTACTCATACTTAGTAAGCACTTACTACATATCAGGATTTGGGCTAGGATCCTACATATATTATCTCATTTATCCACGTAACAATTACATGAAGCAGCCACCATTATTACAACCATTCTATAGATGAAAAAGGTTCAAGACAGATTGTAATTTGTCCAAGAGCCTGAGGTAATGCTGACTGCGGTTCACATTCACACAGCTTGAACTCTGAATCTCTGAACTCTTTTCAGTCTAACTTATAATAGAGGTAAGCGTACAAAAAGCAGTTTGCTAATTAAGTGTTGTTTCACTTCCTTTAAATGCCCAGCTGCATGCTTCTTATCAGAAAGTTTTATCATCTGACAATTCTTATTGGAGAAACGGTTGTCTGGCTAGAAATAGGTATCTCTGAGTTTCACAGTTCTTCACGGAGCAGATGGATCAAAAACACAAAGTCTGTGTGCAACACTGGATTTTAAATGCCAGGCCGAGCACTGACAGAGAGGAACATACCTAGCACCCAAAGGGTAGAAATAAATGCCTTTGGGAAGGAAGGGCGGCTCTGCCCATGGGCGCCATCTGCTAGTAAATATGGGCAGTGGCCCTCAGGAAGAAATAGACAGATGAAATGAAATTGCCTAAAGTATGATTTATTGGGCTTCCGTGTACTGCTTCCTGCATGGTTTTTTTTCTTTCATACAAAGCCGGCAAGACAGACATCATTTGATTTTACTAACAAGAAATTTAAAACTCAAAGCTATTAGTTCACTTGCCAAGGGATGTGACCACAATCTATCTAACCTCTCTGAATCTTTACTTCCATCCTCCTGTGGAAATTCTCAGGAGTGCTATGCCTTGCTAGCTCCTACCTCCTCCAGCCCTTCAGGGCTGGGATCACAAATGTTCCACATTCCATTGGAGCTATTCATGTGGCAGGCAGGAACCGTGTCAGCAGTGGGTGTCAGTAGGGTTGATACCCTCTGTGCCTACACTATGACCCAGTTCATGAAGCAGAACGCGTGCCTCTGGGACTAAGTCTGAGGCTCCAGCCCTGAATTTCAGTTAGCTCGGCTGGGCCTTATCATCCTCTATTACTCTCTTCAGTCCCTCTCAGGGGGTTGGAAGTGTTGGGTCCTCTACCCTCCGAGTGAGGTGTGGAGCTCTGATACAGTTGGTATCCCATACCACACCTAGACCTGCCAGTTGCCCAGTTGGCCCCGCTGGAACCAGCCACTGTAGCTGGCTGTTCCCATACTATGCTCTTCCTGAGCTTTCCTTCACCAGGGACAGGATAAAATGGCTAAGGTTGCAGAGTTAATACTCACACAATTGCCACTGTCCTTTGAGAAATGTAGAGGAATGAAAGATGGGCTAGAAAACTATGGATAAACTAATGTTGACCCTATTTCCAAAAAGGGGCAAGGATAAATCCTTGACACTTTCGTTAATATAACATTTTCTGTAGAATCAGATGATGGGTCAAACATGAAGAAATAGTGAACTGATAAGATCTGGGAAAATTCACTATGACTATATCATAAAATAAAACAATTTTCTTTTGAGGAAAAAAATTATCTTACTGGTAAAATTCAGAATGTTCTCCCCTAAAGGCAATGAGAAATTGACAAAAATGGTCAGAATCAACTTTTTCAGAACTCTAGAGTTAACCAAAGGCTTATAACAATACAAGAAGTACTTATTCTGGAAAAATGGCCAAATCTCTCCAACAACAGTAAGTTTTCTGTCACTGAAACTTATCTTCTCCCCTCCCCCACTTCCCAGCATCACAATAACCTTGAAACCCAGCAGCCTTACAACTTTAGTAGCTGTGAAAATCAGAAGCCGAGCAGCCACTGAAGAAAGCAGAACAAGCCTCCACCCTTAGAGAATTGTCACTATTCAATCCCACTGGTAGCTCCCTGGAAATCTCCACCTGCAGAAGTGACCTTTATTTGACCTCAGAGCTCCCTTAAAGTGAAAAGTCTTGGGCGTTTGCTGAAAACAACCACCAGCAATTGTTTTGACACTGTGTCTGTCTGAAGCAGAGATAGCATTTGGGACATAGAAGAAGCTGACCAGAAAACTTGAAAGGAAAAGCTGAAGAGTAAGATATTCACAGCTCCAACATACTTCTAGAAATCTACAAGGCCATGCACATGTACAGGGCTGCACTCAGGAAAGATCTAAGATGCTCTAGTGGCCCACCTTTGGTTGATTGGGCCTTTACATAAGTAGGAAGGCTTAGGCAGTGTTGTAAACTGTCTGCCAGAGTGCTGAAGGTATGCTAGAACTCATACACAGAGCTCTTTCACAGCTGGGTATAGTGGCACACACCTGTAATCCCAGCACTCTGGGAGGCTGAGGCAGGAGGACTGCCATGAATTCAGGGTCAGCCTGGATTATATAGTAAATTCAAGCCCAGCCTGAACTGGATAGTGAGACGCTGTCTCTAAAAAACAAAAAGAGGGAAGCTTATTAGTACCAAGAATTTAAGAAATTTTCTGTCCAATGATTAGTCGACCACTAAATTAACTGAGTAGAGACATAAAGAATTCAAAAAAGTCACAATTGAAGCAAACAAAAAACAGCAATAAGCAGCAATAATAAACCCTAGGGAGCAAAGGGGATCTGATATCTACAGTTGCCACACTGTATCATTTAAAATATCTAGTTTTCAACCAAAAACAACTCCTCCAACAAAAGGAAAGTATGGCCTACAGGAGTGATGGCGAACCTTTTAGAGCTTTTAATGATACAAACGGCCTGCAGAGCCACACGTGCCATGGAGTCAGCACCAGCGGACAAAGAGAAAAGGTAGTGAATGGAAACTGTCTCTGCGGAAACCTAGATAGTAGACAAAGACTATCAATCAGCTATTATAAGTATGCTGAAAGAAAACAGGAAATATGATAACAAGCCTCATAAAAAGTAAAATATCAATAAAGAGGGAGAAATTATAAAAAGAAGCAAATAGAGACTCTAAAGTTGAATAATACAATAATTAAAATGATAAGTTCGACAGATTTGAGTTAGCCAAAAGAAGAATGCATTAAAAGATGGGTCAATTATGTTTGTACAGTCTGAGGGACAGCAAGCATAAAGAATTTTAAAAAAATAAAAGAGCCCCAGAAATCTGTGAGATGCTAACAAGTCTATCAACAAATGGAGATAAGAGATCTAGAAGGAGAGGAGAGGATAAAAGAGGCAGAAAAAAATATTTGAAAAATTAAAGGTGAAGGGCTGGGATGTAACTCAGTGGTAGAGCACATACTTAACACGTATGAGGTGCTGGTTTCAATTCCTAGGACACACACACATACATACACACACAAATTAATTAATAGTGAAAAACTTCCAAAATTTTATTTCAATGTTTGTATCAAGAAAGCTTAGTGAACTCCCAGTAGGATAAATGCAATGAGATTCACATTTAGGCCAATTATAATCAAGACAATATTCAACCAATAAAAACAATATCAGATATGTGGAAAACAAATACAAGCATAGCAGAAGTAAATCTTTCCTTATCAGTAGTTACATTAAATTTAAATAAACACTCCTATCAAAAGGCAAATATTGGCAGAGTGAATTTTAAAAATAAAAAAACACAAGATACAACTCTACATACAAGAGGCACACTTTAGATCCAAACACATAAAGAGGCTGAAAGAAAAAAGATGAAAGAAAGATATACCATTTACAGTAATCAAAAGAGACCTTGACTGACATAGTATCAGACAAAATGCAACTTTAGGCTACACTCACGGATGTGAAAAGTCCATAGGTAAAGGAGAGACAGTCCTCTCACAGCCAGGTCATGCCTAACTAACTGCTCTTTTCTGAAAGGAACACTGCTTTTTGAAATGCACAATGACAAACTTGGAGGCCACAGAGAAAAGTGATAAAAGTGATTAAAAGGCCTGGAAATAATACCATACAACTAGCACTTGAGAGATGTGTGACCTAGGAGAGAGAAAACTTTTGATTGATCTAGAGGGATCAATAAATATTTAAAGAGTTTCCATAAAAATAAGTTCAATTTCATTTAGTTCCCAAAGACAGAGATGGATAGTACCCATGGGAAGCAGCGATAGAAGGACACTTTTTGGCTCAATGTAAGATTGTGTATAAATGAGAGAAGTGCCTATTCCTTAAGTTGTTCAGAAAGTTTTCCA